GAAATGAGACAGTTGTCTAGACATATTATTATTATTTTTATTATTAAAGATATGACTTCAGTTCAGTTTAAGGTTACTTGGTTAATGTATAACTTAGTTAAATATGAATTATTTCTCTATTATTCTTTTTATTGCAATCAATATTTTTGATGTAGTGTGGGCCTCTTTTTTCGTTGTCGAAAGATTTACACTTAATTATTATTATTATTATTGTATCATTTAGTTCCTAGAGGAACATAGGGCTTCAGCTGCGCACCTCCATTGACTTCGGTTTTCTGACAACTTTTTCACCCTGCTCCAGGTCTGTCCACATGCTTTCATCTCCTCCTCGCATGACCTCCTCCAAGTCACCCTTGGACGACCAACTCGCCGCCTCCCTTTCGGGTTCCACTCGAGGGCTTGTCTAGTGATGTCACTTGATGGTTTCCTCAGCGTATGGCCAATCCATCTCCATTTCTTTCTGCCTATTTGTTTCACAATCGGTTCCTGATTGGTTCGCTCCCAGAGATCCCTGTTGCTGATCTTTTCTGGCCATCTGATCTTGAGTATTGAGCGGAGACAGTTGTTAATGAAGGTTTGAAGTTTGTTTGAGATGCTCTTTATGACTCGCCAAGTCTCTGATCCGTATAGTAGCACTGACTTCACATTGGAGTTGAAAATCCGGATCTTATTTTTGATGCTGAGTGCTGTTGACCTCCACACAGATTTGAGAGTAATGAAAGCTTGTCTTGCTTTTCCGATTCTGGCTTTGATGTCCTCGTCAGTTCCGCCTGTAGTTGAGACGATGCTTCCCAGGTAGGTGAAGGAGGTTGTTTCTTTCAGGTTCTTCCCATTTATGCTTATTGTGGTCTGTTGGTGTTGTTGATGTTGGCTAGGAATCTTCATCATCTCTGTTTTATCTATGTTCACGTGAAGTCCTATCTTTGATGCTTCTTCTGCCAACTTGTTACTTTTCACTTGCATATCTTCCAGTTTATGGGAAATCAGACATATATCATCGGCGAAATCCAGATCCTCCAAGTCTTTTGTGTCAGTCCATTTTATGCCTGTTCCCTCGTTGGTTGCCGTTGTCTGTCGCATTATCCAATCAATTGCAATCAGGAAGATCATTGGTGATAGTAGACAGCCTTGCCTCACTCCCGTCCTCACTTCGAAGGCTTCCGTAAGTTTCCCGTTGTGGATTACTTGGCATGCAGCATTGTCGTATAACTGTTGGATGAGGTGTATAATTGTCGATGGGACCCCGTAGTAGCGAAGTAGTTTCCAAATGACCTCTCGATCGACGCTGTCGAAGGCCTTTTCAAAGTCGATGAAGTTGAGATAGAGAGGTGACTGCCATTCCAAGCTTTGTTCAATGATGATCCGTAGAGTGGCGATTTGATCAATACATGATTTGTTTCTCCTGAATCCAGCCTGTTCCGGACGAAGTTTTTCATCTAGGGCTTGTTTGATTCTCTCCAGGATGATGCGACTTAGTATCTTGCTTGGAATGGACAGAAGCATAATTCCACGCCAGTTTTTACATTGACTTAAGTCTCGTTACACTTAAACAGGTTATTAATTTACCCTTGTATTTATTTTATTTCGAAAAATCTAATGCTGAGAATTTCATCCATTCACAAAATTATACTTTAGAACAAACCGATAGACAAAAAGGAGTGAATATACACTTTTTTCTCCTTGTTAGAAGTCGTCAACGTTGGCTTACCGAAAGTGTCAGGGAAATTTATTCTTCGTGTGTACAGTGGAATCTGTAGAATACACTATCGAAGTCTTAGAGTTTAGCGAAGGTAGTGTTACTCAATTCATCATTCGTCTCTTATGTATTCCTAGAATACACAAACAGGTTGACGAAGTAGGTTATAGCCACTTGCCACATACCTTGAGCAACTTATCACGATTGAGGAGCTATAATTTACACGGTATAATTCTCCCTTGCTGTAAACCCTAACCCCAGCCTAACCTAACATTGGAGAAGTTAAATTGTAGCAACCATCCAGATCGACCTTACCATCAATCTTGAGAAATCAATCAGAATTAGGGTGCAATAAATGCAGCGAAATTGTTAAAAGGATGACTGTATATTATAGTGTTTGTACTTCTAACCCCATTCTCTGATCTACCCCCAAATTCAATTCATCATAAGAACAGTCATACTATCAAGCTTCTACCACATATACATGTTTTATATACTCTAATCAATCCATTATTCACCCAGTAACCAAACACCCGACCCTCTTGGAACTCCGTAAGCGAACCTAGAACAGAAGGCAACATTTGATTTGATTAAATACGTATATTTAATTGGATATTGGAGGTCATGTACCAGGCTGGTGGCTACAGTTTAACTTTATTGACATGTTGACCGTCACTCGATTACAATCAATTTGGTGACTTTGTTTTAACTGTGTAATCAAGCGTACAATGTCTTCGATAACTTGATTTTATATTAAGGTGTATGATTTTGTTTAACTGTTGCCCAAGAATAGGATACGCGGTGAGGGAAACTTCATGTTCTTCACCTTTTTGTCTCTTGTGTATTCATGTTGCTATTCAGTTGTCCCATAATTTTAACATTAAGGTCTTTTTTTAACGTGTTGACGTATTGTTTAGTTGTAAACAATTGTAAACTATAGTTGATTACACTAAATGATATTTGTACAAACAAATAATCAGATACGTAAGACATTTGTACGTAGGACATTGCGTTATCTAAGGTAATTCTCATACTTAGTTACTGTAGCAATTTATTTCTCAGGTAATGAAAGCATGAATACTTGAGTCTATTTCTTTTCTAAAAGGAATGTCAAATACTCGTAGTAATGCTGTCGATTATGTTATATTAACTTAAAAAATATTGGCATTAATGAGATGTAGTGTTTGGTGTTGTAGCATTTTGCGCCTGATTGATTTAATCGTGAAGCTTTTATATTTGCCATCTAGACAACATCTCCATCGCTAACTTATTTACGCTGATGAACAAGACTTCATAATTGCTAAACCACGTCATCTTAGTAAAACATGAAACAAGAAGTATTCCCTTTAAAACGATGTCGATCGTTTGAAAAAAAACGAGAGGAAATTGTTAAGTAGTAAAATTTCATGCTATATGAATTGTTGATTAATATTAGTAATTGTAAATCACTAAAACTAACCGATCACCTAAGAAAACATTACTCATTGTTATCTAAACGTTCTTCATCTTCAAAGTACGCCACGATGAAATGTCACCTTGAATTGTGCATCTTGTACACATCTGATATATATATATACGATGTGGAATCAAGCTATGATCAAAGATAAAAGACAAAGATGTGACTAGCGATCACGGATAATTAGTGTTTTCTGTTTATTTTCATTGTAAGTGTTCATATCAGATATTTTTCAGTTATTCCCTTCAGTAAAACATTTCCTTAATTTAATCATTTATGCTTCAATTAACACTTCATTTTACGCATTAGTTTGTCTTTGAGCAGTTAGTTAGTGAAATTTAGTAGTTAGTGTACATTTTTTCTCTATGTTCTATAAATAAATTTATTGAGACTTGTGAATTTTATATTTACTGAAAATGAGTAAGACGAGTTTTGACGCGTGAAACACTAACTCGTAATCGATAAGTCAGACCATTAGCGTGAAAACCTTTTACACCATCATCTCTTATTATAAAAATGATAAATTTGAAACTATAGTATTAGATACCCGAATTGTATTATTCAGAAAAGTATATATCAACTAGATAAAAGCAAGAGCGAGATTAAAGAGGTAAAGAACAAAGGAATTATCAAATATGCAGTCACCTAAGGTTACTTAAACTTTTTAATTCATATCTAATATCGATTTAACCTGTTGGATTACAGCATCGCTTGGTTTTTCTACAGAAAGCCATCATAAACTGATAAATGGGAACTCAGCACAACTATTTCCTTTTCCTATTACACCATACTAGTCGACTACCTCCTAATTTCTTACAGGACTTAACGTACAATGAACAGTATGAAGAATTTAAGAATTGCCCACTTAGTATTGTCTCTAGTCAGTCCAATAATGACACGTACAACATATGATATGAAACGGCGAGCAAATTCGTTCTATTGGTCTCTCTCTCTAATACACTTACACTCACATTCTTTGAATTTCGAGTTTTTCTAGTTTTAAAAATGAATAAAAAGCTATAAAAATATTGCTTGTGTTGTTGCTGTCTTACAGCATGAAAAATATAATTTTGTTAGAAACAGGAATAGATGGAAAAAGCTTCACATGTGAAGAATTAATGAAGAAAAGCGATTTGACGTGCAATATCCTGTAATGAATTCTGCTTCTCATTTCAATGAGGTTTAGAGGGATGGATTGTAGAAAGTAGATTTATTGATTCCTAAACTGCCTCCGTCGCACAGCCGTAGAATTCTCGCCAACCATGCAGGTGGTTTGGGGTTCGATCCCTGACCGACGCCATTTTTTACTTCGCTTAGATAGTAATAAGGCCGGTAAAGAGAGAAGGTTGGACATGAGACTAGCAACTCCATCCCGTAAAAAATAAATACGACTGCTATTGAAACTTCAGGTCTCTAGCTTGAAGCCCTATTTTCCACTGGCAACGTAAACGAATAAAAAAACAAAAAAACTATCACACAGAAAAATTATTTTCCTAGAATTTCTTATTTTTCTAAATATAAAGTATTATTAGATAGCTGAAATTCAGATTTGCCGTGTTTTTACTTGGTGATTGCGATTGAAAAAAAATTCGATCACAGCAGAATATAAATCTATGACCTTTAAGTTACTTGAGAGCTTTCAGACTTAACTGTATATTTTAAATAACTTGAATTCGCACATTGCTGTATGATTTTGATTGTGCCATTATTGCATATCACTTATGTGGTAGTAAATGTTTGCGTTTTAAACAATTTACATTATCGACTATTCAGCCAACCAATGAGGATTGAAGCTTTTGTATTGTATTAAAAAAGGTGATCGAATGTTTTTCTTTCTTATATTTCCAGGTATAGACCGCCAGATATATTGTTAGGATCAACCGAATATTCAACACATATTGATATGTGGGGTGTTGGTTGTATATTCTATGAAATGGCTACTGGATGGCCACTTTTCCCTGGATCTACTGTAGGCGAACAATTAACATTAATTTTTAAACGATTAGGTATGTCTAATGCTATTGTTATTTTTGGTTGTTTTAAGCCTGCTTGCTTGCTCCTGTGGGGAGCGAGGAGACAGGAATACGCTGGACCCACCGATAAGAAGACTTTAGAAGATCTGGATTTTGCAGATTATAATAATAGATAGATAATAATAGATAATATGTCTAATGTCATACAAACTCGAAGACTTACAGGCGAAAACCAGCAAACTGAAAGAAGAAGCTATTAGTTAAGACAGGACTGCAGATGAACATAGAGAAGACGGAGGTGACGAAGATAACCAATGTACCGCAACAACAACAAAGACAACCTACACCAATCACCATCAGCAGGAGAGAATTAACAGAGGTTACTCCCTTCACTTATCTGTGAACCATCTTTCGACTACAGGCGGAACGGATGAAGATATCAAAGCCAGTCGGCATCAGAAAGGCAAGATACGCCTTCACCAACCTGAAACCAGTTTGGAAATCGTCTACACTCAGCATAAGGAACAAGATTCGCATTTTCAACACCAATGTCAAGTCGGTCACTGCTTCTATATGGGTCAGAAACTTACACTGCGTGTCACGAAAAGCATTTCCAACAGGCTGCAGATTTTCATCGACGGCCGCCTTCTCTGGCTCCATACTGAAGATCAAATGGCTGGTCAGAAAGAGTTAGTAACAAGAAACTGTGGGAACAAACCAACCAAGCGCCGACTGCTCAACAAATTTGTAGGAGAAAATGGAGATGGATGGGACACACGCTGAGGAGGCCGTCGAAAGACATCGCGCTCCAGGCCATTTTTCGAGTGGAATCCAAATGGGAAGCGACGAGTGGATCGTCCTAGACTGAAATGAAAGAGATCGTTTGAGGGAAACATTTGAGTTTGAGCAATCGTGGACCCAGCTGAAGAGGATGGCATAAAATAAGAGAAGGTGGAGATGTGCTGTTGAAGCCCTACGTTCCACTCGAAACCCAAGGGAATAATAATAGTATCATAAGCTTGCTTGGTTAGGGTTTACTACCTTTTGTATTGACCTTGACACATATGCATGTGCCTAACATACTCCTTATAAACGTTCTCATTTCTAAATTAGCTACCTATTCCTTCAATCTCTTTAGACGTAAATGCATGAAATTAGCACTAACGATGTTTGGATAAATTTTCTGTCCGAATTGTCACTGAGTCTGTTTATCTGCAAAAGCATTCTCGAAACAACACGTAACTTTGATAGCTCTCAGTCAAACTGCGGTTAACTTGAATAGTCTAACAAAAATTACAGTATAATAGACTATTTTATCCTAATTTGCATTGAAGAATACTCGTTTAAGCAAAGGATCCTTTCATGTTTCATAGTGCTTACGAATTCACCGTTATCCAGAATTAGGGGAGATTGACAAACCTTGCGAACATAGAAAGTAAACTATCGTCTAATCAGCACATATAGGTAGAGATTAAGAAGGGAAAATACATATAAGTATCAGTATTAATATTGTCTACCGTAAGACGGTCATCTAACGAGAAAGAGATCATAAAAATAATAGTGTACGATGTGTAAAAGACATTCGGCAATAAATTATTCACTCATCAATTTCGAACTATATTGGTTGAAGCTCTCTACTATTTTCTGTATGTTACATTAATAATCAGACACTTCATAGAATGGTGAAGTATTTTTTCAAACATTTTAGCCGGTACTACTTCATGATGAAACCTCTCCAAAATATACAAGTTTATACGTTTAGAAACTATGATAGCCTGATTGATAAGTGCATGTATTAGTTCCAGAATTACTACAGTTGTCCATGTAGTATATATCTAAGGAACCATAGCAGATTTAATGAGCCATTCGCAGTTTCACCGATTCAAGATATGTACTTAGATATGCATGGTTTAATGTCTGAGACAAGCATATGACTACTGGTAGGATCGGTCAGTTTATTCGCTCAATGATATACTCATTGACTGAGTAATTATGCATTGGTTTTCAAGAGAATGGAACACGCCCATTCCAGCATGCGGTATCATCCTGTAGCGCAACCAATCAAGAGTTCTCCTCCGATAGACCATTTCTACCATTAGTATATATATTAGTGTGTGGTTAAGCATGCTAACTCTGATTACTGATCGCAACAATCGGTTATAAACTGCACAGACAAGTCGAATAGAACTCATCTTGCATACACGACTAGTCAAACGCTTTATTATGAGCAGGAGTAAAATGTATAGCAACGCTATAGTGCAGAGGCCCTGTATAGGTAAAGCTAGCACCCATCCAATTAAATAAAAGCGTTAGCCCTACCAACCAATTTAGCATTTGAATAACTTCATCATTCAATACTTCTGCTAAGACTACTTGAAAGCCATCACAGTCGTCATGTCACCGGGCTACAAACAATGACTGAACTTATCAGTAACAGAAGAATTGTATGTGAGATTGTCTGTAGTGTTTCAAGTATAACAGGCAAAAGCTGTACTTTTTCAAAATGACCATGACCTGCATTCTTCACTCCTATTTGACCTTGACAACTTACTGGTGATAAACCGAACAACTATAGTTGACATTCTACTCATAGGAATGCACAGTTGACTCATCTTGTGAAAATAATAATGAATATCTGTCTCTTCCATCTAATACATGCACATTATTTATTGTGTTAGTCAGACTAATAACCAATCGTCTGTTAGGTCAAATGAGTTTCGGTATGCATAAATGGTGTTTGAATATGAAAACCTTTTTTCAAGGTAAAGGTGAATTAATATACACAGTGGTGTTCAGTTATAGTTGCAGTAAAAAAGTTGATTTTTAGTTTAGTTCACGTTTTCAAAATAACATCATGTTTATCCATGGAGCATCAGAAGAATATAATGACTTAATTGTACCTTAATCTTATGCATTGACAAACAGCAAGAAGCATACTGGATCTACAACTCTAGTGTTAATTAGCATTCATAAGTAAGGTATATATGGAACATTGTCTAATATAAGGCGGTCAGAATACCCAAAAGTTGACCTTAATTGCTTAAACAAACTGAAGTAAGGAATTTAGACGTATAAGGTCACTAAAGTGGGAGCGCAGTACATTTGATCACCAGTGACAGATTATAGTGGCGGACTGAAGATTAAAATGTGAACCATTTAATCCTTTTAGTCAAAGTATTCTACCTTATTTACCATAAACTTGATCACTGGTTACTCATGAATGTGTACTACTGTACAGTTCTAAGATAGAATACTAAAGAAAAGAAAAAGCATTATTTATTGTCTTATTAGTTAATTAAGTTCATTTCATTATATAAATTACCTTAAAGGCTGATGAGTTTATAATAAAGAATGAGATTGAAGAAAAATCAACAGGTCAAGTGTAAGGTTTTAGTGATTTGGTTGGTTTCAAGGTATATTTCTGGGTGAGAAAGTCCCAGAACTATTTCCGGTCAAAGGTCAAATTATTAAAATTATAGTGTAACAAATAGGAATATCGGATACAGAATGTGGCAAGATAGATACGTTGTAGTACTGTTCTAGAAAAGCTTCAGGTCAAAGATCAGATTAATAAAAATACTAAGTGTAATAAAGACATAATAAAGTCATACCTGAAAAACTCTAGTGCTTGCACAAATTATCGACTAAGGACGTAGTAATAACAAAATAGATACGAAGTTCGGATATGTATAAAAATAAAAACAACAACCAGATCTAATAATGCAGAAAGGAATTAAAAATGTAAAAATAACAGAAATAAACAGGAGGGTTGGATAAGAAAGGTAATAGGGTAATCATTATTGGTGGGACTGACCTTTCATGATGGCTACGGTAAAGACAACGGTTGGACGTATTTCTTTTGAACACATATCGTGAGTTTGTTTTTTGGATCACCAGTGCCTCAGATGTTGTTAGATGCTTTGATTTCACCCCCTTTGGTAGGTTTGATTGGATCTTTTATATGACTTTGAAGGACTTTTCAAATGGAGCTGAATGTTGTGAATTCACCCGATGTTCTGTTACCGATCTGTATACACCCTTGCGTTCCCCCTTTACTAACCATGCTGGATAGTGTTCCCGGGCGCGTTTTACAACTGTACGCATGGTACAACCAATGTACTCAGATCCACATGAGCAAGGGAACTGGTATATGCATGTTGAAGTGGCCTATTGTGACAGTTTGTCTTTCACGTACTGGTTGAATAGTTTCTTGCAGGAAAATGTTACCTGTAGTGTTACTTGTGTAGTATCATCATCATGATCGTCACCTTCGTGCTAAATATTAGAGAGAATTACGAGAAGAATGTTTTCTGAATACCTTGGTGTATAAAAACGTTGACAACATGGTCAATTTGTAAAATCATTTCCGTTAAATAAAAATACCAAATCTCTGAAGGTTTGCTTGAATCTCATAGGGAGATGTAAGCTTGTCTGATTGGGGTTATCAGGATGCTAAGAACCAATAGCTTCAGACTATTTGTAATATGGCTCAAAATTGTTGTCAGTGGTTGAGATGCATTCACTCTTTATAATCTCTCATATCCGCTAAACCTTCATGGTTTTTCCACTTTACTATTCTGTCTCCCTCACATTTCCGTTTGTTATAGTATTTTTGAACCCGTTTTTTCTCTTTTTTGTCTACGTGAGATGTGGCGAATTGAAAATAAGAAGTACGCTTCTTTGCAGAGTTCTATTCTGTAACTCAGTCAGTCGGTCCTCAGTATAGTATCATTACACTTAGATTAATCATACTTGTTTTAACTTATTCTTTCTTCAGTATATATATATATATATATATATTGGTTTTTCAGATGTATTGATAAGTTTTTTGTTTTGATAGGCACTCCAAATGAAAGTAATTGGCCAGGTGTTACAACTCATCCGGATTATAGTAAAGCACTAAAATATGGTCCATATCCTGGTGAACCAGGCGGTCTTCACCATTTAACTTTACGCTTATCTCGTCGTGCTCATCGACTAATGGAAGAATTGTTGATATTTCCTGGGAACCAAAGAATCTCAGCTGCTAATGCATTGAAACATGAATACTTTTTTGAATCATCCCGGTTTCCATTTCCAACATTTAGTAATCTACCACCAGCTTCAAGCATATTTGATGTTCCTGGGGTAAGATTAGCATGTGATCCTGGACGAAGTGCTAGCCTACCCACAAGTCGACTGAATGGATCAAATTATTTCCCCACCAATGGACATAATGGTGATGTTAATTCAAGGATTAATAGTTCTCAAGTAAAACTTAGTCAACCACAAACAGAAATGAATAATTTCGTTATGTATCGAGGTAATCAAGAGCACCTTAATCAAATACCATTGTTAAATTGTACTAATGGTAAAGTTCCTCAACTTCAGAGTTATAATACTGCTGCTAACAATAACATTATCAATAATAATAGTAATAATAACCATTTCTACCCCAAATATCATCATGCTATCGGTAATGTTCCCCCGCCATTACCGCCCCATCAATCAACATCTAATTCAGTGTATGGCATACAGGCATATTTCCACCAGCCAACTGTTGGTCTGCTACACGCAGATAGTGGATCTCGTCGACCACTGTCAACAGCATTCGAATCGAGTTATACTCTTACAAATTCTAAACCGATTGTTAACGCAATTAATATTATCAGTCCAACAAAATCAATGTCTGGACATTGTCAAATGAAACCGACAACTATTAGCTATAAGCCTCAAGCAGTTAATCGTTCTAGCTGGTTAAATATTGGACGACAATCTTCGGGTAACTGTCACATTTATTTTTCACATGTAGCTTTTTAGCTTAATACTTCAAAAAATTAATAATGCACTATTTCTCAGGCATTAAACTGGAACCATTTAGCTTGATTTCAAAGTTGGTTTTTCCCCTCCTTCCATGTCCCTTAGTTTTCAGAGGTTCTTTAACTCCTAGTGTCTGATGACTGAAGTCACCTTGAATATTTTAAGTTATTTTATGCGTTGTTTAATATAATGTTAATCAAAATAATATTTTTGCGATTCGTTGACTAGTATGTTGTTCCAGTGCATGACGCAAACTTATATATATTCTTGCCAAATAAGTATTACTAAATGATTACTTCACATTTGGAGTCTTGACCCTCATATCCAAGTAGTCATCTCCTAGTCTGTGGATGTCATATCTGTATAACACTACATTTATTAAGGTCTCTGGTTGTATATGGGACTGAGCAACAACTGTCTCAACATTCTCAGCCGATTGGAAATCCCCTGAGAAGATTGTTAAGTGACATCATTCGCCAGGCTGTCGAGTGGCACTTCAAAGGAAGACGAGTTAGGCGCTGGATTAGTGGGTACATGGAAGCGATCCTATGAGAAGGAAATGGAAACTTATGAACAATGGTGGAGCCAGCTTAAAAAGATTGCAGAGAACAGAGTGGAACGGAGATGTGCTGCTGAAGCTCTATGTTCCACTCGCAATCTGATGGAATAGGTACGTACAATATTTTTTTCAGCTGATTGTCAACCCAACAAAAAGTACTATGCGAAACTAGTAAAGGGACTGATGAAGTTATAAGTCATTAGAATGTGTTACAGGAGTTAAGTTAGTTCATAAATAGGTTACCTGAAATTGATTTTTCAGCCACAATTATTTTACGATAACTGATAAAAATACCACTACCCACGTAAGACACATCAACTTATCTCCAACCTTATTACGTTGTTTTAGCTGGAGGAGATTAAGGGAGATTGAGGTAATTAAACAAAGGAATGGCACAAATCTATGATTCCTGTCGTGATTTCTATCGAAAAATATTCATTTCCAATAGGGAACTCAAATGTTGGTAGGTTCTGATCAATACCAAAAGTGAGGAAAAACAATCTTAATTTTGTATATGAAGGTATCTTAAAGATTTTCATACAGTAAATAATGTTTAGTGCGCGTCATTTTATCGTTTAACACTGAATTATCCAATATTGTCGTAGCAGTCTTACCTTAAGAGTAATCAAAGTAAAATTTAACAGATGGTGTCCGTGAAATTCTTTGAATTCGTGATATTAATAATTTAAATTGATAAAATTTCTTGAGTAGATGAGGTTGTAACCTTATGCCAGTAGAATTGCTTATAGATTGACTACTTCACTACTTGTTGAAGTTGATATTAGAAAGTGACATATCATTAAATATGCCAACAGAAAATAGTCGTTTTAAGTTAATTCCTGGGAAGATTTCATCATGAGCTGACATCAATTAGAGAACCGCTGGTAAACCTGGGAGTACTGGACAGCTGTTTCGCCCTAGCTTGAGACTTCAGCAGTATGCACCCACCGGGGGTTCGAAGCCTTCTGGTTAAAAGGCGAGCCCGTAGACCATTTAGCAATGATCCAATGGCCCATGAATTCTGCCAGTGACCTGGGGTTCTTTTGGGAAGCCATCACCAGTAGGGTACAGCAGCTTGAAGTTGAGGTAGTAACTTATCGAAGAGGACATTGCGAAATGTTCGCGCTATGTCTTGAATTGACAGAAATTAGAATTCATGGGCCATTAGATCGGGTCCTAATGGCTCAACGGTCTACGAGCTCGCCTTGTAACCAGAAGGTTTCGAACCCCGACGGGTGCGTACTGCTGAAGATTCCCGAACTAGGACGAAACAACTGTCCAGTACTCCCAGATTTACCAGTGGTTTCAAATCTTTAAATATTCCCATTTATAATATTAGAACAAGACATACAAGCGAACAATATTGTTTTCAATTAGATCTTCTTCAGGCTTTACTCTAATTTACATAGACTTATATATATAAAATTTTAACCAATGACGGTGATTTTGTGGATCAAATAATAATAATAATATGATTATTATTCTTATTATGATTAATATTATTTGATCCACAAAATCACCGTCATTGGTTAAAATTTTATATATCTAAGTCTATGTAAATTAGAGTAAAGCCTGAAGAAGATCTAATTGAAACAATATTGTTCGCTTATTTGTCTTGTTCTAAAATTACCAGTGGTTCTCTAACTGATGTCAGCTCACGATGAAATCCTCCATCTTATCAAAAAAATCCCCACTTGAAAATTCCTTGAAAGTTTAGAAATAATGGTCAGACAGTTCAACTTACGTTATATATATATATATATATATATATATATATTTACGTAATGTTATATACGTTATCATATTTTTTTAATCTGACAAACAAAATTTGAACTAATTACTAAGTAGCTCAATACATACATACTCGATGAAAGTCCATTGGTCAAAATCACTTATATTGGCGGCACCATTCATGTATTGATTGTGTTATATTTCTAATCACCACCAACCATTAAGCTATTTTTGCAGTAATATTAGTCTTTCTTTTAGCACACATGAGATTGAGTAATTGTCAGTGCAACAAATTTAGTCACTTAGAAATTTTCAATTTTACCAAGATATCGTCTTGTCTTCAGCTAACAATATGGAATTTTAATCTACCAATAAATCCATAAGTCATTTGATTATTCTAAAATCCGTCTGTATTACTCCTTTAATTCTTCTAGGACGGTTTGAAGATCGTCGGAGAAGCCTTTTCTCATAGAAAACTACCACAGGAAAGAAAATACGAAAGAAAAATAGAGATATTTTGGAAAACACCAAGCAGCAGCCATTCATGACTTGTTCACAAATAATCTTTCTCTTATTATGTACAGTCTCCCATAAAATTATGGATCGTAATGATAATAATAATAATTATTATAGACTAGTGATTACATATGTTGTATGCATCATGATTCATATTATGACTTTCTTTCTTTCTTTTTTTTCTGTGTTTACTTTTATTCATGCATTTTATTTTTAGTATTTAATGTTTTCTTTATTCCTTTATATATATGATAGTAACGACCTCATTCCAAGGTGGATTTCCATGTATTATCCACCTATTGTGTGTGTGCGTCAATTTTCTGCATACCTTCCGACCGTAAAAGTAAAGACTAACTAGCACAGCATTTCAGAAAACAATTCCTCTTTTTTTCTCTTATTATTTTAACTGATTATCATTATCACTATAATAATAATAGTAATAATAACAATGGTTATTATTGTGTTGTTTTTAATGATGTTGCCGCTAGTTTTGTTTGGTTGTATGTCGACTTATCATCAACTGATTTTGTTTAAATATGTACACCTATGAAAACAAGACTAGTATATTTATTCTTATGTTGAAATATACATATACACATAATACGCATGTTTTCATTTCAAGTTTCTCCATGGATTGTTATCATTTAGAGAACTATTGAAAAAAGAGAGTACTGGATATTGGTTTCTTCCTGGTTTAGGGTCTTTGGCAGCCCGCACCCACGACGCCGCCAGGGATTGAACCCAGGACCTTCATGATACGAGGCCTAGCTCGTTGACGATTCAGCCGCTAGGATGAAACGTTATGGCCCATGATTTATAACTTATGTCAATTCGCGATTTTACCGTGACTGCCTTTCATTGTCATTAACGAGTACTTGTCCTCACACCCGACCTGTTGGATGCCATTGATCAGAACGTCTCACTTGAAATCCATACGATGATTGCTGAGTTCCACTTGAGACATTGTTACCTATATATATATATATATATATATATATATATATATATGGTAAAGAAGATATTCAAAAGTACAGTACGTATTTGTTGTGCACTTATTATCTTTATATTTTTATAAATTCTTTCTTATTCGTAGATAATTAAATGATACTTTATTGCTATAATGTTCTTTTACTCATTGAGTGGTTTAAATATGTTTAGTGAGTATTTTAATATTTAGAGGAAAAGGTATCAGTGTTAATTATGAAATAGCACAGATTACTTTTTGAAACCAGCTTCTAGACAACAACGCAGTGAACTACTAGTTGATATAAGCAGTTTACGTGGAATTAAAAAACACGAACTGTAATGGAAAAATTATGCATTAACTGATTTCTTTTCTTATCACTTTGTTTTTTCGTTCATTGGGAATTAAAAGAACTTTCATAATAATGAATATCATATACACTCAATGACTAAATTTTTTCAAACTATTAAACGACATCATTTTTTTCCATTGTAGAAAACATCGATGAACACTATGATACAAGGTGGTAAAAAAGAATTTCGATGGGAATCAGGTTACGAGAAAACATGGAGTGCTATACGGGAAGATGAGTCAGGACGTTTAATTACAACGCTAGAACAATTAGTACATGATGCACATGCACAAATACGAAAAAGGCGTAAACGAATCGGTGTAGGATCTTTAGGATTTGTACGTTTAGGAATGATGAGACATTTGTTTCTTATTGTGGATTTATCTCAAGCAATGAATGAACAAGATTTGAAACCGAATCGCTTAATTTGTACAATTAAAGCTGCTTGTGCATTTGTTCGAGATTATTTTGATCAAAATCCTATCAGTCAGTTAGGTATTATTGTGACATCGGATAGGAAAGCTGAACGGTTAACTGAACTATCAGGTAATCCAAGACCACATCTTGCTGCTTTACAATCACTCTATACACGTACATGTATTGGTGAACCAAGTCTTCAGAATGCCTTATTATTAGCTGAATCAAGATTAAAGTATACAATTCATCACAACGAAATTGTAGTATTGATAGCCAGTTTAACTACATGTGATCCTGGTGATATACATCAAACAATTAAAAGTTTATCATCGAATAATATACGCTGCTCTGTTATATCATTAGCCGTAGAAGTATTTGTTTATCGTGCTCTTGCACAACTTACTCAAGGAACATTTCATGTTATCGTGGATGAAGTACATCTAAGGAGTATTTTAAAAGATTTAGTTCCTCCTCCAGTGGCTGCTGTTGAAACTGATGCTAGTCTTATTCGAATGGGATTCCCGCATTCAGAAACCTTTGATCTTGATCGGTTTGCTATTAAACGTTGTATGTGTCACCTGTCCAGTAAATCAGTTGCTGAGAAAAATGACACACAACCACACTATGCTTGTCCTCGATGTCATGCTGCCTATTGTGAATTGCCTGTCGAGTGTAATGTCTGTGGTCTGACACTTGTTGCCGCACCCCATTTAGCTCGTGCTTATCATCATCTGTTCCCATTAGATGTGTTTGAAATAGTGAGTCCAAGTGAAAAACTACAAGAAAGTGATAAAAACTTGAAAGAGGCAGATTCGACCAATATTAATAAACGAGTGTGCACAGCATGTGATGTAATTATACCATCCAAAGTTCCTGCCTACAAATGTCCTAAATGTCAGTATATATTCTGTCATTCATGTGACGCTATTCTACACGATTCTATCCATTCATGTCCCGGTTGCTTAACTCAACTAAATACTGGAGAAGCTTTTAAGACGTTGACAACTTTTGATAAGGAATCAATTAACTAGTCGAATGCTTTTATCAGTGTACATATATATTGTGTTTGTATTCTTTTAAAACATTCTACACTTTGCTTCATTAGATATTTCATATTATAAAACCGATGTTTTCTATAATGACACAAAATACGATATCAGTTGATGTATGACTTTTGTATTGCAATCATACAATTCATTGTATAATTCTTTTTATCAAAAATGTATTTACCAACTAATTTGCATTTGAAGGGTTGATTAGATCCCAGCCGTGACTGATCAATATACTTATTTGCCAAGGTGTTTAGTGTGTACTCTGGGTAACCGAGACTGTCTTTTCTTTTCTTTGAGTATAAAAATTAAGTTAATATTGTCTGTCTGTTTTCGACATAGAACTTTGCACCGATGTACGGCAGTTCAAGTCGCCACACTCCATATAGCACACAAAGTAAGAGAAGAAAGTAGAAGAAATGCATAATAGAGGCAGCAAACAGAGGTGTGAGACAAAGGAATAGTAATAACGAAGAACAATATAGTTTCATATGAAATCACAAGTCACAAGGAGTGGATGCATCTGCGCTGTCATTGAGAACGATTTTGAGCCATATCACCAATTGTTTCCAGCCATTGGTTTTTACCGTCCCGAGGACTCCAACCAGTCAGGAAGTCTACACCTTCCTACGTGACTGACTTAAACTAACTGTTGTGGATTTCATTGACTGATGAAGCCATGTTTTGGTTTGACCGCCGCTAGCTGTTTTCCAGCCTGACCCTATGTCAGCTAACATTGTTTGTTGTCGAGGAAGGCGATGACTAGGCATACGTAACACATGTCCTAACCATCTCAATCAATGTAACTTCACAACCTCGTCTATTGATTTCCCCCCACACCTACGTACTACTCGACCGATGACTAACTTCAATATTGCTCACCCGATTATACCACCTAACACGGGACATAGATAGATGGGCACCTATGATCAACGACAGCTAGCCTTTACATGTCTTCCACTCTCAATGGCCACGTCTCACTCACAACCATGAAGGAGAACGGAGCGGAGTGCTGAGCAGTGCACACACCCTTCGGTCGATAGCCGTATATTACGTCTACGCCAGAGAAGGCGTAAACTGGCATATGCGAAACTAGCCCTCTCTATCCATGCTGAGATTTTGTCAAGCATCAACCCTCTGGCGTTGACTGATGCAACTTCTCGAATAAGTGAAGTGGTCAACTCGCCCTACCACTTCACTCCCTATCTATAAGCTAGGAGTAAGTCGATGTAGTCCAGTTCAGTCTTGTAACATCATCTTGCATTTGACGGGAGTGAATTTTATGCCAATCATTTGGAGATCGCTGCTCAGAAAACGGAATTTTGTCAGCGTCTTCACCTAGAAGGACTATATCATCTGCATATTCTACGTCAACGAGATTATTCCCTGATAACAAGTCAATCCTTGAGTCGCTGAAGTCAGTTAGGGTTAAGTCCACTAGTGCATCTATGATGAAATTAAACATAAATGGGGACAATGGGTATCGTCAACGGACACCACCAGTAGTCACAACTTCAGATATCAACTCTCCGAAAGCCCTCACCTGGCTGCATGAGTTCGCGTAGAGTGTCTTGGTCAGTGAGATGTTTTTTCTCGGCATTCCCTTCACAGCCAAACATCGTCATAGTACCTCTTCGTCGACGAAATCTAATGCAGCTTTCAGGTGAAGAAATATGGCGATTGTTGGACGCCTGTAAGTATGGGTATGTTCTAGAATCTGTCGAAAGGTGAAGATACGATCAATACACCCTGTTTCTGGTCTAAAGCCTGTCTGGTTCTCTTGTGTTTCTTCGTCCCGAGCAACACTTAGTCTGCGCAATATTATTGAGCCTAGGACTTTAGATACTATATTAGTCAAGTTAATCCCTCTGTGATTATCGCAGGAAGGCTTGTCTCCCTTCTTGTATATGAGGATAATCAGTGACTTACACCAACCCGACGGGACTTCCTCTCATCCCAATACGCTGCCTTGTACACCAGATAACTCAGGCAGTAAACTGTCTCCACCGTATTTAAATACCTCTGGAGCCATTCCGTCAGTTCCTGCACCTTTGCCTTATTTCAGACTAGTGACAGCTTCAGTAACCTCAGTTAGGGACGGTGGACCTGTATCTATATCCCATTCAGGGAGGTGTTGGATGTTCGGCAGGTTGTGTTGCTGTAGGCCAACTGAA